AAAAATTCTTGGTGTATTTTTTCCTTATCGTCATTTATTTTTACATGCATTTAATTTTCATAATTATTGCGTGGTGAAATTCGTGGAAGAAAATTTGTTTAAGTTTTGTTATAAAATTTCAAAAATAACAAAAAAATTAGAACTCCTGCTTAGGGTTACTTTTTATTGAAAAAGAAAATCACAATTCACCCCCCCTCTTGTCATTTAGTAATTTCAGGAAACCCAAACCAACCCAGGCCATAATAAAGAACAATAAGAGAAGTAGTATAGTAACCAACCCAGGCCATAATAAAGAATAATAAGAGAAGTAGTATAGTAACCAGCAATGACACGCCCACCATAATGCCAGTAGAACTCCATGAGATCAAGGCCAACGAAAAAATAATAAAACTAGTCCAGCACCGGCCCTACCAGGCAGCAAGGCCAAATACTCAAAGCACCCATCCAGAAAAATAGGCAACCAAGAACCACTAGGTAAGTAATGCCAACCCATGCAATAATTTAAAATAGAAAAAGAAGAACTAGAGTAATCAGCATAAACACACCCACCAAATACTGACAAATAGTCAAACCAAGTAAGGAACAATAATTATATTATAAGTAGAGAGAACTTTTTAGGGTTTCAGACTGATTGAATTAATTGTATTGTGGATCATACAATACGGTCAGGCTAATAATTTTACAAAATAGCTTTTTAGGGTTTTTTTAACCCTTATATAAATATCAATATCCAAGAGTTTGAGAGAGCTTTTTTACTATAATTTTTTCTAAGAGATAGAGAGATTGTGTGAGCTTTTGAAGATAAACTTTCAAGAAGATTTTGGGAGAGAGATTTGTTGAGGCAATGAGAGATCTATTGGGATGGATCAAATGAGTGGGTGATGGATTCACTAAAGGTTGTCTAGTCCAATCTAGTTTCTTATTTCTCTAGATTATTGTAAAAGCTCTTATGAGAAGAGCTCTAATGAGTCTTAGTTGGAAGCTTGGATAAAGATAAGGAGGCTATAGAGAATTTACTTTTTGAAAAAAAAGTGTTGCAAGTAGAGAGAGAGGCTTATCCCTGAAGGAGAGGCTTCTCCTCCTTGTTGGAGATAGAATGAGAGAGGTTTCTCAACCTTATTGAAAGTAAACCGAGAGAGCCAATGAAATTTTATAGGAAAGGACTCAAGGAGTGGAAGCAGATCAAGCTGATCGAACAATTATAAATGAGAT